AGAGTTGCAACGAAAAAGCCATATCTCAGACTGGCCAATAAAAATAAAAGATTAAGATGGGCAAAAGAACACAGACACTGGACTTTTTCTTTGCAACTCTGCATAGGAGGTCAGCATCCCGGAGTCGCCTCTTCACTGTTGACGTTGAGACTGGTGTTTTGCGGGTACTATTTAATGAAGCTGCCAGTTGAGGACCTGTGAGGCGTCTGTTTCTCAAACTAGACACTAATGTATTTGTCCTCTTGCTCAGTTGTGTACCAGGGCCTCCCACTCCTCTTTCTATTCTGGTTAGAGCCAGTTTGCGCTGTAGTACACAGCGTTGTACGAGATCTTCAGTTTCTTGGCAATTTACAAGTTTTAATCACTTAATTCATAAACATAATTGATCAGTAAAATCACTATAAATAAATTGGTAGCTCTACCATTACTTGTTACTTCTCTGAACTTTCATTATCCTGCCACCTCATGAGAGTAATTAGAAAATTAAGTTGTGGGTTAATGGTAAAGGAATTACAAGGCAATATTTCTTACTTACAGAAGGTAAACAATTTCTCCAAAACTAAATATGAGTGTTAATATTAGTTGGCAGGGGTCTTTACATCAACATTGTGTTTTGATGCATTTCTGATACCTCTTAAGATTTGGATAGATGTTTTCTAAGACCTGTTTATCCAGAAATCAAAGCCTTTACTTATGCCACATTTTTAAGATGGAAAATTTTTGAAAAATGTATCTATTCCTTCATTCCCCCAAAATATAGACTCTTAGCTTTCATTTGACACCCAATTTGATATGTTCCTAAGAAACTCACATTGGTGCTCATGGGTACTTTCCGATGGAAATGCCCTGGATGTAACTCTGTGCAGGATGCTGGATGAAAAACTGAGCCGGATGCATGTCTGAGCCGGATGTAACTGAGCCGGATGCATGTCTGAGCCGGACGTAACTGAGCCGGATGCATGTCTGAGCCGGACGTAACTGAGCCGGATGCATGTCTGAGCCGGACGTAACTGAGCCGGATGCATGTCTGAGCCGGACGTAACTGAGCCGGATGCATGTCTGAGCCGGATGTAACTGAGCCGGATGCATGTCTGAGCCGGATGTAACTGAGCCGGATGCATGTCTGAGCCGGATGTATGTCTGAGCCGGATGTATGTCTGAGCCGGATGTAACTGAGCCGAATGCATGTCTGAGCCGGATGTAACTGAGCCGGATGCATGTCTGAGCCGGATGTAACTGAGCCGGATGCATGTCTGAGCCGGATGTAACTGAGCCGGATGCATGTCTGAGCTGGATGTAACGGAGCCGGATGCAACTGAGCTGGATGTAACTGAGCCGGATGCAATGCAGGATGTTGAAACTCTGAGCTGAATACTATACTGAATGTAACATCCAGCTCAGTGTTACAGCCCCTACTGCAAAGAGGCTAAACCAGGACACACTGGTCTTACATCAGTCTACAGCAGTAGAAATTAAGCCACGTAATTTCCCTTCCCCCATCCAAGATTAAACTCGCAAATGTAAAATGTTTTGCAATTACAGGCTACACTACCTAGTATTGATTTAATACTACACATATTTATGGTTCTAGTTTTTTATTATATGGAATCAATCTATTCAAGTGTCAGTCATCTATTCAGCATTAGCAGATAGAGTAGACTAAGACAAGCCTGTGCAGCCTAAAAATAAAAAAACACTCTTTAGGTAACAAGTTCATTAATCTAAAGATAAATCTGACATCACATTTTTTGTTGCTATTATGTCTCCTATTGCAGGAAACACTTCCCCCCCCCCCCCCCCCTCTGTTGTAGGCTATTAAATGTTATACAATTCTCTTTCAATAGCCTGTCATATGCTACTTTCTGATAGGTTACAACATTTAGATTAGTGGTTCCCCACCAGGGGTAGACCTACTAGGACCCCTGGGGGTACTTGGCCTATCCATAGGGGGTACTTGAGAAGACCCATGAGACCGTAGGCTTACTGGTAAAATGTACTCTAGAAAGAGGCCTGAGTTCGAATTCCGAGTTGGAGGACAGTTCAAAACGATTTATCCCAGTCGAAGCTAGTTTTTTTCTGAGTTCCCAGTTGTCGTGAACGCACTGAAGTCGGAGATTTCAGAGTTCCCAGTTGCTTTGAATGCGGCATACGTTTCCATGAAACACTCCGTGACGTAATTGGTATTTCATCATGCTTGTTCATGTTGCTCACTTGCTTCAGAATGATCTAGTCACTTTACGCTACACCACACATTCAACGAATCCTATTTTTAAAAATAACATAGCAATACATTACAAAAGGCAGGAATTAGAGAGCGCTAGTGGTGTTCAAGCGCCGCACATGAGTGATGGAGGCTCTGGATCAATACGGTAAAAATAGGAATTACATCTATATTAACCTAGTTCTTTTTAAGTAGTTAACATTGTTCACTCACCTTTGAGTTAATTAAGGTAGTGGTGATGGACCAGTACGTGATCCAATTTCAAAGATGACCTTTCGTAGAACGCGACTAGACTAGCTTGTTCAGCAGCTCACATGCTTTAAAGACATACAACACGGTCCAATCTGATTCCAGTATCCTTGTTTGGTGTGTACGTTGATTGGCTACAGTGGGGGTGTTACTCGGTCTTGCTCCTCCAATCAGAGATTACACGTTTGTCGGGCCTTCGTTTCGAATGTCCTGCACATATGTAAACAAAAGGCCCAGAAAGTAGCCCGCCCCCTTGTAGACATGCTTCTGCAAGATAAACAATAACCATGATTTTGGTATGTAAACGTTTGGATATTTCCTCTGAGAAAAGTTATTCACTGTGCTTAACCTTGAAAAGGAGCACAAGGTGTGCAAAACAATTGCTTATGAATAGGCCGATTTAAGTGAAAAAGCTATATAAAAAAAACTTAACCGAGTTTGGGTTCTCCAACCCTGTTCCTGGAGCGCTACCCTCCTGTAGGTTTTCACTCCCCAGTTGTAATTCACCTGATTCAGCTTATCATCCAGCTAATTATTAGAATTAGGGTTGGTGCGAAAACTTACAGGACAGTAGCTCTCCAGGAACAGGGTTGGAGAGCCCTGGACTAGAACGTTTCTCAATAAGTTATTACATCAGTTATTCAGCACAAAAAGACAAAAACAAGAATTGGCCTAATAATGCACTTCTTTGCTCTTCACTAAACTTGCAGGTTCATGTCTGAACGCACAGACGGGTGAATAACGTTGTGGATATGAATAGCCTATGTATGCAGTGAAATTGAATAGACCATCTTGAAACACAAAATTGTGAAAATGAACTTTATAATCTTACCCTAGGAAGCTATTGAAATCTAAGTCAACAGGATTCTTTGGGAGTGTCAAAACTTTATTGGCAAAAACATCCTTTGGCATTCGCCCTTGGTGCTCCAGTAGTTCTCAAGATAAAGGAGTGATGACGAGTAAACTTGCAAACGGGACCATTATGTAGGCCACAGGTGTCAAACTCATTCCTCTGAGGGCCTTCGTCTCTGAGGGATTTCGCTCCTCCCTTGTACTTGATTGATGAATTAAGGTCACTAATTAGTAAGGAACTCCCACACCTGGTTGTCTAGGGCTTGATTGAAAGAAAAAAAGAAAAACCTGCAGACAATAGGCCCTCCATGGAATGAGTTTGACACCCTTGATGTAGGGCCTAACTGTTACCAAACTTGTAAAAACAACCATGATGTACAGTACCTTCTATTATATGGTTCTTTGTACAGAGTTGAAGAGACAGTGATAAACTGATGGGATAGTGTCATAAGTGCAGTCCTTTGTAAATTCGAAAGAATGTAGTCCAATGTACACCGAACAAAGCCTTGGTTTCTGTTTGTAATGAAAGTTGCTGATGAAACTTTAACAGAATTTGCATCCACCTCATCTTCACTTACCATATGAGATACTGCATCCGGGGCAGGTCCTTATTCTCATCTGGCACTGTGCTTGTGTCAATTCTGAATGGAAACGACTCATGTGCAAAGCTTTTTCATTCACTGATTGAGAACAGTGGTTGTGAATGCAATCAATAACATGTACTTGTAGCCATAATCCAAACAGGCAAGTGTAGGCATGGGAAACTAGAAACAAAAAAACATTCATATGGACCCATTCCAAATAGACCCACAGCTAACTGGTTTAAGAGATAATCCTTCAAATAAATCTATGCTAACTGTCTTTTTGAGCCAAGTGAACACAGCATGTTCTGAGTGAGAAATCAGCTGAGGTGTCAAGTTACTGGGAATCAGGCAGGGAGCAGTCTATGGGAAATATTTCACTTCCCCTAAACCCAGCCTGAAGCAAAAGTAACAAAGTTACTAATTGCGGTACACTATAAAAAAAAAACGTCTCTCTCTCCAGAGTAACCATTTAGAATAAATGGATCCAGTTGGAAGAAATTAGTAGAAAACAGTGCTCTACACCAACACTGTTTACAAGGACCACATTTGCTCCTAAGTTGAAAAGAATGTAAGGGCACATAGAAATTTAGGAACACGATGAAAAACATTCAACGTATTAATGATAAGAATTGCCAGCCATTAGAAAATACAGGGTGAAGGAACACCAGAACATCTTGTTTTAAAGATTGAAATGTAGCCTATATGAATCCTAGCCACTTTTGAAGCTTGTCTCCTGAAGAAGTGCTTCCTTTCTTTTTATTCCATTAAATGTTATCTGGGTGATTTTTATTTTCTCCGTAGGGGCACTGGTGCCCCCATATTAAAAATCCAGGCAGCACATGAAAATATTTTGGAGCATATGCGACCAAAATGGTAGCGCTGTAGAGCCCTGCAAATCATGTTTTAATTTTTTTATTGAGAAGGCATGCTTTACATTTCTTGAATAAAAATTATGAAAGAAAGAGAAGTCCAACATTTTCCAATTAATTCTGGTCATTGGGACAATTATATGAAAGGGCCAACTGGGAATTGATAGGCCGCAATGGAGGGAAAGATATAGGGATATGAGGATGGACGTGCGGTGGTGGCTCGGTTTAGAATCTTCCCGAGCGTTCTCGGTCTCTGGAACGCCTTCTCTCGCGGTCGCCTCCACCTCCCCTGCCTTTATCCCTTGAGCGCGAACGACGTTCCCTGGAACGGGAGCGAGAACGATGGCCCCCTCTGAGGAGGAAGAGAGAGAACATTTGAACTTTCCCACTTAAACCCACATGAAAAACCTTAGCGCGTCAGAAATGTGTATTTCGGAGAGCACTTGAACACAGCATTAGTTCTGTGATTAGCGTTGACTGTCAAGAGAGCCTGAGCATAGCCCTCTTCCTGCAGCATCCATACAGCTCCCTCCTCAGCTCCCTGGAGATGGGTTTCAGGTGCATGAAGTTACAGAAGCCTCCTCGAGTGCACTCCCTGTAGAGAAAGGGGGAACTGCAGTTAGTGCACTGAGGAACTCTGTCATATGAAGAAATCTAATCTGAGCAACGGAGATAAAGGTGTGTGGATTTGATGCCATTGGTAGGAATTAGCCTTGCTCTAGCATTTATTTAATTGAAATAACCTCATTGAATTGCAATGTATTTGTAATCACCACTAATGCCATCTTGAGCTGAAAATGGTGTGTGTGTGTGGTCCTGCGGTGGAGTACTGACCCCATCTCGTACTGGCGGCAGCAGGTTTCTCTGAAGTCGGTAATGGGAGAGAGCTTGGCGTGGATGGGTTGAATGTTGAACCAGCGGTTATTCAGATCATCACTGCCTTCTCCACGTCCTCCTCACGACGGAACCACACACAGAGACCATCACAGAGTTGGTGTGTGCGCGAAATTTGGTTCTTAAGAGGCAGAGACAATGACAGAGTGTTTGTGATTAAATGGAAGGAGAATGTGTGTTCCTCAACAAACATGCACAAAACCCACCATCACAGACACAATTACATGGTCAGCGACACACCTTCACATTTCAGACCAGATGGTCTCCCATCTTGGGTGTCGCACACATTCATCTCCTCCACCTCTCCGTACTTCTCCTCTCCGTACTTCTCCTCCATCTCTGTGAAGACCTCCTACAGCAAGAGAAACAAAGGGAGATAGATTGGCAGAAAGAAAGGGGAATATATTATGTCTGAAGTTTACTTTAATTCAAAGTGCATTTCCCAGAAATGGTCAGGGTAAAAAGGTTTCAGTATTTCTATTCTGTTTCAGTAGGTTGTTAGTATTTTGTCTTCAACTCCTACATGGGCTGTGTGGTGGGGGAAGAGATGCAAGGCAACCCAGAGTTGCATCATCCACTCCATTCAAGTGGATTTATAGTGCGGTAATACCGACTCACCTCAAAAGAACTCGTGGTAGTGCTCCTGCATCTCCACATCACTGACGGCACCTAGTGGCCACAGGAGAAACACACTCATCAGGGACAAGCCAATGACATCATCACTGTGGTTTCATTAACTAAACATGCACAAGAGAAACATTGCTAAAACATACGAGTCTGGACTGATTTGACAGGATTTTGATCTAAATATTACTGAATTACAAATGTCTTCAATTGCCTAATAGCACACAGTCCAGTACACATGAAATAGGGATTTCAGGAAAGATAGTGTCCGGAGCCAAAGGGTCAGTGCCAAAAATCTGTTCATTGTGCCCCTACACTAAGACTGGACATTTTACCTTTATGAGGGGTCTTACGAGACTAATTCTGGCACTGTCACATACATAATATACAGTGAGGGAAAAAAGGATTTCATCCCCTGCTGATTTTGTACATTTGCCCACTGACAAAGAAATGATCAGTCTATAATTTTAATGGTAGGTTTATTTGAACAGTGAGAGACAAAAAAATCCAGAGAAAAAGAATGTTATAAATTGATTTGCATTTTAAAATGAGGGAAATAAGTATTTGACCCCTCTGCAAAACATGACTTAGTACTTGGTGGCAAAACCCTTGTTGGCAATCAGAGGTCAGACGTTTCTTGTAGTTGGCCACCAGGTTTGCACACATCTCAGGAGGGATTTTGTCCCACTCCTCTTTGCAGATCTTCTCCAAGTCATTAAGGTTTCGAGGCTGACGTTTGGCAACTCGAACCTTCAGCTCCCTCCACAGATGTTCTATGGGATTAAGGTCTGGAGACTGGCTAGGCCACTCCAGGACCTTAATGTGCTCCTTCTTGAGCCACTCCTTTGTTGCCTTGGCCGTGTGTTTTGGCTCATTGTCATGGTGGAATACCCATCCACGACCCATTTTCAATGCCCTGGCTGAGGGAAGGAGGTTCTCACCCAAGATTTGACGGTACATGGCCCCATCCATCGTCCCTTTGATGCGGTGAAATTGTCTTGTCCCCTTAGCAGAAAAACACCCCCAAAGCATAATGTTTCCACCTCCATGTTTGACGGTGGGGATGGTGTTCTTGGGGTCATATGCAGCATTCCTCCTCCTCCAAACACAGCGAGTTGAGTTGATGCCAAAGAGCTCGATTTTGGTCTCATCTGACCACAACACTTTCACCCAGTTCTCCTCTGAATCATTCAGATGTTCATTGGCAAACTTCAGACGGGCCTGTAGATGTGCTTTCTTGAGCAGGGGGACCTTGCGGGCGCTGCAGGATTTCAGTCCTTCACGGCGTAGTGTGTTACCAATTGTTTTCTTGGTGATATGGTCCCAGCTGCCTTGAGATCATTGACAATATCTTCCCGTTCTGGGCGGATTCCTCACCGTTCTCATGATCATTGCAACTTCAAGGTGAGAACTTGCATGGAGCCCCAGGCCGAGGGAGATTGACAGTTCTTTTGTGTTTCTTCCATTTGCGAATAATCGCACCAACTGTTGTCACCTTCTCACCAAGCTGCTTGGCGATGGTCTTGTAGCCCATTCCAGCCTTGTGTAGGTCTACAATCTTGTCCCTGACATCCTTGGAGAGCTCTTTGGTCTTGGCCATGGTGGAGAGTTTGGAATCTGATTGATTGATTGCTTCTGTGGACAGGTGTCTTTTTATACAGGTAACAAGCTGAGATTAGGAGCTCCCTTTAAGAGTGTGCTCCTAATCTCAGCTCGTTACCTGTATAAAAGACACCTGGGAGCCAGAAATCTTTCTGATTGAGAGGGGGTCAAATACTTATTTCCCTCATTAAAATGCAAATCAATTTATAACATTTTTGACATGCGTTTTTCTGGATGCCTTTGTTGTTATTCTGTCTCTCACTGTTCAAATAAACCTACCATTAAAATTATAGTCTGATCATTTCTTTGTCAGTGGGCAAACGTACAAAATCAGCAGGGGATAAAATACTTTTTTCCCCTCACTGTATATCCACAGTAAAACGAATCCTATATCGACATAACCTGAAAGGCCGCACAGCAAGGAAGAAGCCACTGCTCCAAAACCGCCATAGAAAAGCCAGACTACGATTTGCAACTGCACATGGGGACAAAGATCGTACTTTTTGGAGAAATGTCCTCTGGTCTGATGAAACAAAAATAGAACTGTTTGGCCATAATGACCATCGTTATGTTTGGAGGAAAAAGGGGGGACTTGCAAGCCTAAGAACACCATTCCAACCATGAAGCACGGGGGTTGCAGCATCATGCTGTGGGGGTGCTTTGCTGCAGGAGGGACTGGTGCACTTCACAAAATAGATGGCATCATGAGGAAGGAAAATTATGTGGATATATTGAAGCAACATCTCAAGACATCAGTCAGGAAGTTAAAGCTTGGTCGCAAATGGGTCCTCCAAATAGACAATGACCCAAAGCACACTTCCAAAGTTGTGGCAAAATGGTTTAAGGACAACAAAGTCAAGGTATTGGAGTGGCCATCACAAAGCCCTGACCTCAATCCTAAAAAACATTTGTGGTTAGAACTGAAAACGAGTGTGCGAGCAAGGAGGCCTACAAACCTGACTCAGTTACACCAGCTCTGTCAGGAGGAATGGGCCAAAATTCACCCAACTTATTGTGGGAAGCTTGTGGAAGGCTACCCAAAACGTTTGACCCAAGTTAAACAATTGAAAAGGAAATCCTACAAACTACTAATTGAGTGTAGCCTTCCACAAATATTAATTGAATGTGATGAAAGAAATAAAAGCTGAAATCAAATCACTCTCTCTACTATTATTCTGACATTTCACATTCTTAAAATAGTGGTGATCCTAACTGACCTAAAACAGGGAATTTTTACTAGGATTAAATGTCAGAAATTGTGAAAAACTGAGTTTAAATGTATGTGGCTAAGGTGTACGTAAACTTCTGACTTCAACTGTATCACGTTGTACAATAAAAACCAGACATTTCCATAAATGAGTTTGACCTGAGACTATGGGGCAGGGTTAACTTCCTGAATAGGATTAGTAAAGTGTAAATGAGTGAGTACTTGAAACAATCATGAAAAACTATTTCCTAGAAAAGTATTAGATTTTGAATTAATAGAAATACACAGTTCTGTATGCATCAAAATTAATTTGGTTATTTCTGTAACAGTGACTACCAGAACAGAAGCCAACATGGGTTGTTTTACTTAACACTAGTAGCTGTTGTATTTCATGTATAGTACAGCACTCTAAAGCAGGGGTGTCAAACTCATTTTGGTTCAGGGGCCACATACAGCGCAATCTGATCTCAAGTGGGCCGGGCCAGTAAAATAATAGCAAAATAACCTATAAATAACGTAAACTCCAAATCTTTACCTTTGTTTTTCAATATTATGCCTTAATTTATCATTTAGCCTACATATGTGCATTATAACTCACAGATCACAGTGGATCTACAAAGGCACAAAACATTTATTCACAGATAGGCCTATGGAACTGAAAAAATGGCATTTCACTTTGATTAAAACAACTTGTTTTATTAACTTAACTTATTTTAATGTACAGTATACATTCTGACCACCTGAACTGACTCACCACACTATGCACAAACTAAAGTGGGAGCTATGAAGAACGTTATCACAATGTTCATGGTCTTTAAATATTACATTACCACAGTAAATGTTATTTTTTCACAGAACTGTATTCTTCAGAGTGCAAAACGTCTCTTAAAGAGCATTACAAGTCTTACAATTAGACTTGACCTACTCGCTGTTTAACCCCCTCCCCTCTCTTTCTCTCACTGCGGACTACCGGCTGCTCCTGAAACTTGGCATCTTTCAGCCTTCACGATTGCATCAATATCAGGTGTCAAATCCTGAGTAGCAGCCAATTTCATAATGTCATTTAAGTGCTTGTGTGTTAGCCTTGAGCGCAGCTTTGTTTTATTGATGTTCATTACAGACAAAACCTGTTCACAAAGATAGGTAGTCCCAAACATGCATAAAACCTTTGCAGCCAGGGCTGTTAATTTGGGGCAAGAGATACTGATAAAATGTGTCCAAGCCCACAGAGGCAAATTTGTCCTTCATACCTGAATCACACTGCAAGTCAATTATTTCGAGTTGGATGTCAGCGGGCAGATCAGAAGCCTTGACTGTGAATGGCGAGCAAAAAACGGAAAATTCTGTCTCAAGTTCACCGAAGACCTGAAACTGTCGCTCAAACTCCCGCAGCAATCCTGTAATCTTGTCTTTGTATTGAGCCATGTCAGCATTAAGTCCGGTCGCACGCACATCTCTTAGACAAGGGAAATGAGCGGTGTCACCGCTAGATAGTTGTGTCTCCCAGAGTGACAGTTTCAACTTGAATGCGCGTATGCTGTCATAATACTAAGTGACAACTTTTTTGCGGCCCTGCAACATTTTGTTAAGATTATTCAGGTGCTCTGTAATATCCACCAGAAAGGCAAGATCCTGCACCCATTCTGGGCATTTAAGTTCCTTCACTGGTTTGCCTTTTTTCTCCATGAACTGTTCAATTTGCTCTCGTAGCTCAAAGAAACGCTTCAGCACGGCACCTCGGCTTAACCACCGTACTTCAGTGTGGTATGGCAAGCCATGCGTAATGTCTTTATCACTGAGAAGACTGTCAAACTGACGGTGATTCAAACCTCTTGCTCGGATGAAAATAACTGTGCGGACAACCACCTCCATGACATGATCCATTTTTAATGATTTGCAACACTATGGTTCCTGGTGCAAAATACAGTGAAATGTCCAAAACTCTTGTCCTCCATTTGCGGCCTGTACTTTATCTCAGAATTTTGTCACAACGCCTGCTTTTCTCCCAATCATTGATGGCGCACCATCTGTAGCCAGGCTGACGGCACGGGACCAGTCCACTCCGACTCTGTCCAGCGCTCCAACGAGAGAGCTCATAATGTCATCCGCTGTTGTAGTATCCGTCATAGGTACCAACCCAAGGAACTCCTCGGTGACTGTCAAAGTCGCATCAACACCACGAATGAATATGGCCAGTTGAGCAACATCTGTAATATCAGTGCTCTCATCAATTGCA